TGGTAGGTCAGATGGTTGCACTGCCACTCAGAGGGACCCTGACATGCTGGAGAAATGGGCTAAGAGGAAACTACAGAAGTTCAGCAAAGGGAAATGTGAAGTCCACGTCCCGGGAAGAATAAACCCAAGCACCAGTAAACATTGAGGGCCAACAGGCTGGAAAGCAGCTTAGCATAAAAAGATCTGGGATCCTGGCAGACAAGTTGACTATAAGCCAGCAATGTGCTCACGTGGCAAAGAAGGGTGACAGCCTCCTGTGCTCCATGAGAGACAGCATTGCCAGCAGATTGAGACAGGTGATCCTTCCCCTCTGCACAGCACTGGTGAGACGCATGTGGAGTGCTGAATCCAGTTGTGGACTCCCCAGTACAAGACATGGACACACTTAAGACAGTCCAGTGAAGAGACCAAAAAAATTATTAAGAGCTTGGAGCATCTGACATATGAGCAGAATATGCTGCAGAGGAGAAGAGAAGGCTTAGGGAGATCTTATCAAAGTGTATAAATATCTGATGGATATGAGAGAAAAAAAATGACAGGCTCTTCTCAGTGGTGCCCAGTGACAGGAAACGAGGCAATGGGCACAGACTGAAATACAGAAAATTGCATTTATATATAAAAGTCTTCTTTTATTGTGAGAGTGGTTAGACACTGAAACACCTTTCCCAGAGAGGCCATGGAGTCTCCATCCTTGCAGATTTTCAAAAGCTGCCTGGACATGGCTTTGAGCAACCTGCTCTAACTGACCCCACTCTGAGCAGGGGTTTGGATTAGACAATTTCCAGAGGTTCTTTCCAACCTCAACCATATCCTCTGATGCTGTGAATGCATTAATCATGGACTCAGTAGTCAATCTGACTTTAATATAGGCCTACCTTATCAAACAGCAATGTGAAATTATTAAATGATATTTAATATCATTATGTAAATGATACCAAGTGTACCAATACAGAATTAATCCTAAAAACTGATCTCGGAAACAGACATTGGAAACTCCTTGTGTTACTTCACAGCTGCAGTAACTTAGCACTTTACCTGGATCAAAGCCAAAGGTTTTTCTCTGCTCCTAATAAGTGCAGCTTCTTGCTGGAGCTCTTCCTCTACAATAGCTGAAAACATGACAGGTGCTATCACAGGAGAGCTAGTCGGTGATGCTGCTAACCAAGGACTGGAAAAAAAAACAACCAAATGATATTATGAAGCGACATCAAGAACAAGGCCAGCACTACACACAGAAAGCTACCTTCAGCATCTAAGTCACTGTCAAGCTTACTTATGACTCTCCAGCTGTGGAGATTCCAGAACATTGTCTTCCAGACCTGGGCTACTTCTAGTGCTGCACCTAGAAAAAGGTAGGAAAGAAGAGTGAAAGTCACTGACAGAGTACTCTCCTACATCACACTGTGAAGTACACATTTACAGTAGGCAATTACAAACGTGTAGGGTTTATCCAGAAGAAAGGCATTAGGATGTAATGCTGAATTTGTCTATAAGCAGGATACTGTGACTAGAGGAGACACTGATGCTCATTTCTGACCACCAGAACTTAATGAATTATCAGCTTGGGGGTTAATTCTGGCATTTCCCAACATTTGAGCATTTGAACAAAGGCACTTTTTTTTTTTTTTACATGTATGTAAAATAGTCAGCTGAGTTATGCAGTAACAGCATTGGCTACAAATGTTTGCAATTAATATGAAAAGAATATGGATTCAAGATAAACAAACCAAACAACCGTCCTGTGATCAAACTAAGCATTTCATGTAAAAGAACCAGGGCTACAATAGCAGTAGTAAATTATTTCCTCAAGTGTAAGCCCAGAAATTATGGACTTTCAGTACACATCCTGCAACCACCTCCCACATTCAGAAGAATAGCATACAGCTGGAATTAACAGAATTGGAAAAAAAATCCTGAATTATCAATAGAGTTCTCAATAAGAAAATACTTTATTCAGTTGCAAAATACTAACCTCTCAACACAAAGAAGACAGATTGAGTATACTGCATGCCTTAAGATACAAGTATATTTGTCAGAAAAATCCTACATCAGTAGGAAGAGAGGGACCTATTCTTGGTATTTAATACCTGTCCTTGTCAACTTTTGCTATTTCTGGAACTCTAAAAAAGTGTTACAGCATACTGTGAAATGCTAGATTTTTTTTTTTTTAATTATTCTACAGCATTGTAAAAAACTCTAAGGGTGCTAGTATTTCAATAAATCAGTTTTCTTAAAGGCTTCAATAATCCTCTGTAAGTGGCCGCAAACTCTTGAAAAATAAGAAAAATCTATAGAAAGCTAAGAGAATTCCAGTAACTGCTACATTCTCTGCCTGGAATATTTTCCCCAGAATACAATTCCAAGGACAACTCTTTCTGCTAAGAAACGAGGGCAAGATCTCAAAAAATCTGAAATGCAACATACATCATCAAAAGTGGCATTTAAATGAACTATGCCCAGCTTTTTGTCACAAAACTTAATTTCGCCCACCAAAGTGACAACTACTCAAAGACGAGAATGAACACAAAGGTGTGATACTCTCCAAACTGGATATTTCGGGATAACCTTTGACAGAACTGACACATGAAACAACAGCTCCATGTTGAGAGTGGTCCAATCTGCTGTACCATACTCCAGACTGAGCAGCTATGTAGCTCCAGTTCCTTCATTTTGGTCTCATTAATATGCACTGCATTTTCCACAGGCATTGAAGAATAGTTTAAAATGGAAAAGAGGGAGAAAATCAGTATCTTGTGAATTTTTTTTCTGTTTTATCACCTTTGGTAAAAGAAAACCAATGGCAGGTTAGAGAATCCTATTTTATTTAGGAAAGGTATCAGGTCATACCAGGTAAGTGTGACAAACAAATATGGGAATTCTGCAAGACACGGAGTCAAGTGCCACATAACCTTTTTTTTTTTTTAAAAAAAGTTCCTCATATTTCTCCTACCTAGCTAATTCCTTACTCACTTTACAGCTGGGTTATTCATTATTTTAGTGAATAAGTTAACTAAAAGAAATATAACTAAGTTAACTTTGGTGGACACAATAAGCAGCAAAGATCAAACCAGCAGACAATAAGAGATGCTAATAATTTAGCAAAGGATAAAAATGATCAGCATAACTGTGGAATGAAGCAATGGGAAAGGAAATTCAGAAGTATGAAACAAAAGACTGTGTGAAGGCTGTAGCAGCTATAAGCTAAGAGTTTTTCAGCTTGAAGAGAAAGAGAAGGATACGGGGAACTACAGACCAATCAGCCTCACCTCAATCATGGGGAAGGCTGTGGAGCAAATCCTTCTGGAAGTAATTTCTGAGCACATGTGAGGCAAGATGACTGGGAACAGCCAGCATGGATTTATAACACAAGGCAAACTGTGTCTGACCAACGATTGCCTTTTGTGATATGATGACAGGCTCTGCAGACAATCAGAGAGCAGCGGATGTCATGTTCCTTGGCTTCAGCAAGGCCTGTGACATGTTCTGTTACCATATCCTGATACTCTGTCGGAAAAATATGGACCGAGTAAACGGGCTACAAGACAGGTGGAAAACAGGCTGGAGTGAAGGGCTTCAGGGGTTGTGGATTAGCTGTACAAAGTCCAACTGGAAACCAAGTACTAGTGGTAGTCCTCAGGGACTGATACTGGGGCCAGTCTTGTTTAGTGTCTCTGACGGATGGGGAGAGGGTGGGGCGGGTGCAGCAGTCCACATTCTGGGTGCCAGGCTGCCATTCAGAAGGCCCTCAAGAGGATGGAGAAGTGGGAAACTGAGAAGTCATGAATTTCCAAGGCAAGTGCAAAGCCCTGTATTTGAAAGAGAACAGCCCCACGCAGCAGTACAGGTCAGGGGCTGACTGGCTAGAAAGCAGCTCTGCAGAGAAGGACCTGTTGAGTCCTGGCTGGCAGCAAGCTGAAGATGAATCAGCACGTGCCCCTGCAGGGAATGTGGCCAACTGCATATTGGGCTGTACTAGCAAGAGTGTAGCCAGGCAGCCAAAGGAAGTGATTCTTCCCCTCTCTGCTGTATTTGTTGGTCTACACACAGAGTATCATACCCAGTTTTGGGCTCGAACAAGTCCAGTGGAGGGCGACCAAGATTAGGGGCTGGAGCACACGACAGGAAGAACTGTGTTTTGTTAATTCTGAAAGAAGGTGGCAACAGGGAAATCTCACTGCTGTCTCCAACTACCTAACTGAAGGGTAGAGAAAAGATGCAGCAATAATTTTCTTTGAGGTGCACAGTGACAGAATAAGAGGTAACATACACAAGCTGCAAAATAGGAAAAACCAATTAGATATAAGGAAAAAAAAAAATCCCACAATGGGAATGATCATACACTGGAACTTGTTACCCAGAAAGGCTGTGATATCTTCATACTTGGAAGCAGTCACAACTCAACTGGACTAGGCCCTGAGCAACGTAATCTAGTTTGATTTATTTTGAGCAGGAGACTGAACTAGAGAATCTAAATTATTCTATGATTTCAACAGCAAGGGACTACTTTTTAGCTGAAGACCAGATAAATCAGCTTCCAGCTTTTACTGCACTTAAGAAAGAGAATAACATAATAAAAAGCAGGAAAGAACCAGAGAAAAGAAAGGAAGGAGAAGAGGAGATGAAGGCAGTTTTTTTGCTTGCTGGTTTGTTTAATTGAGAACACTTTTGTACAACTTACTGAACACCTTTATTCTGGTGTCATCTCTCAACTTCATCTCTTTTTCCACCTGCTTTAATAATGCTCTCCTTCCTGCACATTTGGCATTAACCAACACCTATCCAGCCCATTTGACAGCTACGCTCTTCTTCCCACTCATAATCCAAAGAACTCACAGCACTACTATAAATGAATCCATGTAGATTGTTATGCTTAACAAACCTTTTTCAGTACAGATAAAAAGTTCTTTGCAGAGTAAGACTTCTAAACAAACAAACAAACCAAAAACCACAAACAACAAAAAAACCCTACAACAGAAATTTCCAAAATCTGGAATTAACAGTTCCAGTGTCACAGCACACTCTAGTGATCGATTAAAAGATAAGTTTAAATACCTGTGTCATCTCCCTCAGTGTAAATGTGGCTTTAAACTGTAGGAAGCAGTTCAGATATTTTGAAGCTGTTTGTACATACGCACATCTGTGTTTCTTGCTAGCAAGACACTCAGTCCAGATACTAAATCAACTGCAGATATTTCAACATGCTAGATTAATTCCTCAGCTGGCATCAAAATAACTAGGAGAAATGGAACAGACGGGAAATAGGAACCTAGCATATACAGAAAAATGGAAAAAAAGCCTCAAAAATATAGAACTTGGAAGGCTGGAAGTCTTGAAAATTAAAGACTGATGCAGAGACATAAGTGGTTCTGCATGGAAACAAACCAGCCAAGTATCATCAGTACTGAACCAACCTGATTAATTCAGTTGGCTGAACTTGCCATGACTCCTGCACAGCCACCAAGATGTCCCAGCACTCAGCTTCCCAGTGTCTCTTGAGGATTTGTTCATTTGAAGACAGTTCAGGTCCAGTGCCTTCCTGATCTAACGACTGCTCTCAGAAAAGGAACACAAAACCTGGTCTTCTGCAGAACCTCTTGGGTTTTGCTGTACCATTTGAGTCATGTACTACTTATTAGCTCATTATTAGCCATGCCAGAACTAGGCCATTCCCACGCGAAGCCACAAAGACTTGTTTCCACTAAGACTGTTCACTGCTCCCTGGAGTAACACAGTGAAGACAACCCAGGCTGCCACAACAAAGATAAGTCATGTCAGGCCTATGTTTTCAGCTTGGACTCTGAGCTACACATGCACAGCTGCACAGCGTAACTCCCGAGGCTGAGCTGTCCCTGGAAACAACACAGCCCTATGCACACAGCCCAGCTTTTGGGCTGATCTGCCTCTGGACTGAATCCAGTTCACATCTCCACATTCATGACATGGTTCATCGACAGAAAATTTCTGGGTTGCATAAATTGGAAGGTGACAGTATGCGGAAGAGTGTTTATGCAACCAGTAAAAACCCCTCATCCAGAGACTTCAGAAAATTGTCAGTTTAATTACTGCACAGTTTATCCAATGAAAAAAGACAAAGGAGGAAGAGTAGCCAGTATCTTCAGTGTCCCATCAGTGAGTCTGACATCAACAGATGAGGATTACTTATGCTCTACACATGTGCAATTTCCTTTCCTTAGTAAGGAAGAGATAAGGGTGTGGATAATTAATCTTCAGAGAAATAGCCCTTGAAATGCTGCAGGCAAAAATCAGAGCCTACTGTGACAGGTACGGTCAAAGAATAAAATTACCTCAAACTAGAAACTCAACTCCTAACTTTCAGATGGATGAACTGGTCATCTAGGCTCTTTTATAACTAATAGAAATAAGCATCTTCAGACGCAATTCAAAACAACCTGAAATAGCTCTGGAAGTGCCATCTTTTCCAACTGAATATAGTCAATGTAGTCATCTAGGCTCCCACCAGCTTCATGGATCATTTTCAGACAGCTAACATATTAGGCCTGGGTTCAGCTCAAATGATCCACTTTGAGAGCGTACAGACTGGCCAGAGCAAACGCAAAAGGAAATAAATGACTTTATGAAGATCACCGAGCAGGTGTGACAAAGCTAATAAGAGTATCCAATGCAAGCCCCCTTATCAGCAGCCCTTGCCATCTCCCATATGATGAAAAGCTTTATTTGCTAGCAACAGAATTACTAATACCTGTTTCTCTGCAGATATTTGCTTCGTGTCCCTACATCTCCACTCACTACAACTTTAGCTTTATCCCTCTGTTCTTGAGGAATGGATACTCTCCAAACCCCTCCTACCTCTCTCCCATAACACTATCCCGCCCACAACGTTCCTATTTTCTACCCTGATTTTGTTCTGTATCTACCAACAGGACACATACTAATACTGTCCTAGGGAAACACCAGTTTCTACACAAGCTGAGCAACCAAGAGGGAGGCCCAGCAGAACTTTCTTTTCCTTACGGAGGGGACAGTTTTTGTAGAGGAACGGAACAGGAGGTGTTGGTGTCAGGGCTCCCTGTGCACCGACAGGCTCTGTGAACTCTTCCCCCTCAGCGCAGCTGTGTAAATGTGAGTCAGGCTGCCACGAAAAGCTCTGAGTTGTATGTAAGAGCTGTGCAAAGGCTCACGGGGCTCCCCCTCTGCATTTAAGCTCAGTCCCTCAGCCTTCAGCCTTTCTCCAGCTGCACTGCAGCTATGCCCAAGCCCAGCCTTGCTGTTCCTGACCCTGACGTGACTTGCAGGTTTGACCTCAACCCTGCCTCATCCCCATGGACCTGTCTGCGCTCACTGACTGTGGCTCACCCCGCTTTCCACCATGGAGCCTGCCCTGCCCACCCCCCTCTGGCACAGTGGGGCTGTGCCCCTGCCAGGGAGGCCACCGCCCAGCCGGTCCTGCTGTCACCCTTGGCCACCCTGCCACCGCGGGGCAGCTGGCCTGCACTGCTTCCAGAGAGTGGGTGGGAAAGTCTGAAAGGTTTTTCAGGCCTTCCATCTCGTAAATATATTTGAAATGCACAGCTTTCAAAGTTAATGTTAACTGGGGGAAGAGATGCAGGTGGGTGGGCAACTCAGTCCCACAAACCTTCAGGAATAAGGCTGAGATTTCTTTCCTCATCTTAGACGGTTATTTGAAACCCAAACTGAGGTTTTATTGGAGGTAGCAAGAGGACGCACAGCTAAAAACACGTGACCAAAGAGCAATATTGTCTAATAACTAGACATATAGTTCACATGCACCTCAGAAAAGTTATTTTTGTCCTTAGAGTTGTAGTCCCCCAGTAATTATAATACACAGACATAACCAATATATCAGTACTTCAGTAAGCCCTCTTAATCCATGAAAAATTGCACCTGAACAATTAACTCAGCTTATAAGAAAACTCAGATCAGGAAATGCCAGAACTATGTTTGAATAAACTGCTTTTCTCCACTCAACTACACAGAAATACTCCTCAGCGAACTCTGTTCATGTACGCCATCTCTGAATGCTAAAGAGTATCAATGTCTACAGAAGTTAGAAAATACAGGTTGATCATTTTTATACATATATATATATATACACAAATGTACACATATAAATATTTTGTTCGGAGCCTGAAGTGTTTGTGTGCATACACATATATAAAACACACACATACATCTGTCCATACATACGGACACAAACACTTGGAACTTCAAACAAAATATTAGCAGTGGCATTAAATTGCTGTAGTTTTTAAGCTTCCTATTAATTAGAGTATTGCATTCATAAAATCCTATAAATATAATCATTAAAAGAATACTTACAGGATTTCTTTTTTTAAACAACAATTTTATCCTTTCTTATTTCAGCAGAATTTCAACAGGTTATTGTGATTCTTGTATAATGGTTGATCAATTAGGAAAAGGCTGGTCTCTTACCTTATGGTGTTTTGGACTGATGAATCCTCAGTTCCTTTACATCCAGCTCTTTTTATACCAGTACCAAGTGAATTATTTGCATTCATACATTTTTCTTCTTCCATTACAAGATCACGGAATGACTTTGGCAAAGCAGAATATAATGAAGATGACCTTTAAAAAAACAAAACAACTCATTTTATACTTGCACCTTCCACAATTCAGATAGCAAAGAGTGCCTTCTCAGTCACTAAAACTAAAAATACAATATTACTTAGCTTTTGTATCTCACCATTATGCCTCCTAGACCCCATTTGCTAAAATAAGTCACTCTGGGTCAAACAGGTAAACATCAGAAAACATAAACCTAAAGGAAAAAAAAACAAAACGAAAACCTCAAAACCACCCCTCCATATATTCCCCCACCAACCCATCCTCTTAAAAAGGAATTTTATTTTCACAGACACCTTGTCTTAGACAAGCTGTGCCTCTCCTAACAGTATGATTCCTTGAGAAGTATTCTCATAAATCACATAACGCTCTAGTACTTTCATTCTAATGCTCAGTCTACCACGAAGAAAGTCAAGTATAGTTGATCTTCTTTCCCCACAATATTGAATGAGTTACTCATACCTGCTGGAGGTTCTATAAATCACTTAATCCAAAGTGAAATTCATAAAACTGATATGCTTTGTCTTCTTTTATTTGCCCAACTATAATGTGCACTGTTACTGACCTATAGCCTGCATATTATCTTTCAAAAATAAACCAGCATGAAAATATAGCAATTTAGCTTCAAAACTTTCTGATCCAAAAGCCTTTTTATCTACAGAATTCAAGGCAATTTCCATTAGTCTCTCCCCTACACATCAAGACTTTGGAATTAATTCTTCCTACATTTGTTTACATTTAACTACACTAAGCATACAAGTCCCACTCATTGTCAAATACACAAAATACATATTGGAAGAACAGCTATGCTCATTATCTGCTCTCAGAAATAAGAGATCAATTACAAACACTACTGAAGTAAAACACGCTTTCCACATAGTGCTAATTTTTTCTGCAGTTAACATAAGAACGGAAGCATGTGAAGCCAAAGACTTTCAAGCTACATCTGTGTGGTATACAATTTAAGATAACAAACATGAGGGACTTAAAACATTGCAACACCATGTCTGAAATCTTACAACAAAAGCACCTGAAAGTTAGATAAGATGTCTAAACCCCATGTTAGGCCGCTTCGGCTTAAGTCTGAGGTCCTCTCCCCCTCAAAAAAACCCCCACGTCATTCTCAGCTTGTGAACCTATCCAAAACAATTACTTGTGGCTTTAAACAGCTCGCCTTAAACTGGTACAAATTTTCCTAACAGAGATAACTCTAAATTTCAGCTTGTCCTGCCTGATACTTTGTAATTTCCATTTTATTTGTAGCATTAGAAAAAATGATTTATACATCTTTTGTAAAAAAAGTGGAATATGACTAAGTTTCTCTAAGCTGTAACTGCAAAACATAAAAAGCACAAAGTTCCAAAACAGCTGTTGATGTTTCAGTGTAAGCTGGAATACTGACAAACTGACAACCTAGACATCACCACAACTGTTAATTCTCAGGAGAGATCTGAAATTTCTTAATGCCTCCACTCTTGACAAGCCATAGGCTCTCCTGAGCTTAAAAAAAACCAAAACAAGTAAACAAAACCCCCTCTTATCAAACAAGGTCTGGAGAACTAATGAAGTTAACACCTAGCTTCTTCCATGACATACTTGCAAATTGTTACTCCTGTGATTTATTTTTTTCCCCCTCCTAATTTGACTTTTCTTCAAAGGAGGAAACATATGTTCAGACCCGCAAAAACTATGAAACTGGAGGTTTCTTTTGGTGGAAAAGGTAGGACACTGCAAATTACAGATTCTGTCTTTTAGTCGACTAACAAAGAGCTCAAAGGTCCCACACCCTTCTGGCAAGTGTGCTCACTTCATATCCCGGACAAATATCTCATTTCATTGGAACACAACTTCTATGGCTTTCACTATATTGCAAGCGTGGAAAGCTCAGTCTATTGCCAAATGCACTCTAAAAGTCCATTGTGAATTTACAGAATATAACTTTGCAAATACAATCTTAGAGCAGATGAATAACACCATTCTCCCCTACATACACAAACATTTTGAACGACTAGCAGAGGCAGTGAACTAATTGATGGCTTGCCTAAAGCAGCGTAAAGTTTATTCAACAAATGCTCTCTGCCAGCAGCTAGGCATAATTTTAAATATTCATATACTTCCCACTGGTTCTTTCCTTGAACTCTTGAGCTACCGGCATTTTCCAGATCAGCAGCCAAAGGAACACCGCAGAGGAATGTACGGAACCATGCACAGTGACCATATGGGCGTTAGATTGGATTGCATCCTCCTGAAGAATACCCTGGCCTTACCACTTCAGATGGTTTGTGTAACACAGTAGAACCCAGCTACTTTCAAAAACTGTTTAATCAGAACCTTAAGAACACAATATATTTTCTAGAGACAGTTATCTAAGCACACTCAAAAATCAGTCCATACTTACTTTTTAAATGCAAGGAATAGTTCATAGGCAGTGATTTAAAATTAACCAACACCCAATAGGTAAAGAATTATCTATCAGAGAGTAGATGAACAGCATGAATAGTCAAACAGTTCAGATGCCAGATGAAGGAAGTTATGCCCTATATTTTTATATGCCTTTTATCAGAGCTTCTCTTAATATCTTATTTCCTGTATTAAGAAGTAAATAATTGAACTAAAGACATCTATCTCATGTGCTTAAGTCAACAAAACCCTTCTCAAGAAGCCCAGATAACTAGATAAGCTATACAACATCCTCCAAAACCTACTTAAGGCTTTGTTGTATCTAAAATTTGCATATGAAGGGGAAAAGGGAAAGATCAGACTGGAGAAAGACAGACGCCCTATACAAACATCCTCCTGCAGAGTTTTCATAACCCCTTCCCTTGATACCCGAAAAGACAATATATATAAAGAGACAAGAATATAAAACTGCAGCTTGAAAATGGCTAATAAAACAAAAAAGGAAATTAACTGATGATATTTAAGACATCTGGTTGAAAATAGCCATGGAATACCTACACCACTGATCACTAACATCAGCCCAAGCCACGGCATGGCAGGTCTGGAAAGGTTCCTTTGAAGGCTCCAGAGAAGACCCACTTGTGACCACTGATCACAGAAAGGCGTCTGACCTTGCTGGGTGCCTGAGCAAAAGGACTGACTTATACAGGACCCAGTCCACCTCATCAGCAGCACCCCTGTCCAGCTGCCCCTGTCCTTCCATACCAGCAGAGACACCCTTCTTGAGTCACCTATTGGGTCGTGCACAAGAGCATGGCTTCTGTGGTGTTGCCACGCCGAGTCACTGATGGGTAGAAAGGTGGTGGGTTTGTAACAACCCATAAATTAGTGTGTGAATGAGCACATTTGTTATTTGTGTATGTATGACTGTATGTTGTCACTGTAGATGTTAAGCTACATCTTGTTTATGCATAATTATAACATTACCAGTAAGATTAAAAATAGTAGATTCAATTTTTTTTTTTAAATATAATAAAGGATAGCATAACTCCATATGTCCTGTGTTGGTCGCCATCTGATTCAACTGTCCATCTCTCCCAGCAAATTTTAAGCCTCAGAGCTATAATTGCCATATGACACCTCCGTTAGCTAAGCCAAATAACAAACTTGCTGCTTGACCTGGAGCACAGAAGCAAGCAGTTTTAGATATTACCCTAAGCCTTTTGACACAAAACGCCGCTCAGGAAGCAGCCTACCTTTTCCTCAGCCAGCTAGTGATGCGATTTTTTTTCTCTCCGTATATTCATTAAATAGCTAATAGGCTACACGTCTGTTTTGAACTTACAGGAGCATAGCAGAAAGGCAAAGATTCCAGCAGATGCTTACTACTCTTATTTCTGAAAGGAGCAATCAATTCACATGAAGGATCAAAGGAAAGAGAGCCAAGAGATGCAATAGGGAGACGGCTCTAATTGTGGAAAAGAAACCTATCCTTTGAAAGACAGATTCCTATTTTACTTTGATATCTATCCAATACAAAACGAAAACTACTACAATATAATTAAAAACAGCTAAATTGTCTAAAAGACTCCACTTAAAATAGGGTGACTGCAGTGGGTATGCAGGAAGCTTTGTTCCCACTGAGGCACAAATGGGTAAGCTCTAGAGAGAGGAGACTGACTCACAATTCTTCTACAGTACCAGTAGAAAAGCAAGCTGCCATGAAAGTCTAGACCTTCTTGAACAGGGAAAGGGGGAGAACTGCCCAACATTTACTTAAAGTTAAGAGTATGCACATAGGTATTTATTCTGTAGCAATTAAACACACGATGTTACATAGCTGGCAACTTTTCCAGTTACGCCTTTATGCTTTCATCCAGTACCAACTGTAAACGTAAAGAACAAAGCATGAATCAGGCTAGCATCTCATTACATTTATTTTTGTCAACTTAGTTCATTGAACAGATTATATCATCAGTGTATCAAATAGAAAAATGGTTTAATTCGAACATTGAAATTGTATGTAATCCGCATTAAAAGTAATTTTAAATCCATTATGTATCCTTCTAACATAGGAATTCTTAGCAGCGTCTGTCACTCCCTCCAGCTCCTAGCCACCTAGCTAACTTTGTTATCTATAATTTCAGTCTATTTTTGCTCTACTCCAAAGTCATTCTAGCCCTTTACCCCTGGAAGAGCTAACATTATTCTTTACGTATTGACAGAGAAAAAAACAGCATTCCTAATGGTTTTCAATAACCTCTTTCTGCTCAAGTTTCAGAGCTTGTACTCAACCTTCATTTTCTATACTGCACTTTGACACCATCTGCAAATACCACATCACATAGAAGCAAGAACCAGATGGGACGCAGTATTCTGACTCACTATTGCAAAATTTCACAGAACTGCAACCACTGCATTTCCCTGCCCTCTTTGAATTTCTAGATTACTACCAAATGTAGATACAAATAGTTCAATGCTAGACTTTTTAATGAACAGAACCTAGGCCATTTGTATTTAAGAAAGTGCTTCTGAAAGACTATTCAATGTAAAAATCCTCTAAAGAAAAAGTAGTGATATTTGATTTACAACATACCATGCATTCCCTAGTTTTGCAACTTTTGTAGGTGGGGGTGGTGTGGTTATTAGCGTAGTAGGCTCCGTGCTGCTAGTTACTGATCCATTATCTTTTGCTGCCAGGGCAATCATTTTCCTTTGCTTCTGAGAAAGCTTGATTCCATGAGACACCATTCTGCTGTGAATTGATATTGCAAAGAGAGAAAATGTAAGAACAGTGTCCTTTGAGATTACTTGCCTTTAATCTTGCAAATTACACTCAGAAATACTTCTTTCCTAGACCAAAATACTTTGCCTAGAGTGCCAAAAGGGGACTATAGGTGAGGGGAGGGGCTGGATGGTTGGGGAGCAAAAGGAGGATCAATGAATATCAAGAGTGACAGAAAGGAAAACATCATAAAACTATTCTTCAGATAGATGTCTACAAATGAAAACATGCAGAGTAGGAATCACGTCTCAAAGAGATGGACTAGCACCAGATGAAGACTATTTTCTAATAGTAGAGACTGTCAGAATCTTAGCTCCCTTAAATGAACAATATTCATGCATAAGAAATGTATACAGCATAATATAGCCTTTTTTTTTTCTATTTGTAATAATTTGTTTTCCAAGTTTTTTGGATTTTTAAGTCTTGGCTGTTTTGTTCACAGCTTCTGAATCTACCTAGGCAGTAACACTTCACTAAGGCTACAGGACTGCTGTGCTAGCTCTCCTTTACACGAATGCTACACTTCAAAGGTCATGAAAGCCACCTCCAGTCCTCTTCCATACGTCGCCAGTTAAGAAACACTACGTTTAATCCACTGCCTCCTGAAAATGGGCATTTATCTCCCTGTGTCTTTCTGATGCTTCTCTGAGCAAGAATCATTCTTGTTTCTGTCTGAGCAAGAATTGTCAATATCAACACATGGGTGCTAGGGAACGTCAGAGAATGCAAGACAAGAAACAAATTTCAGGATCGATTACAGTACTCTCCACAAGTAATTTCCAAAGTGCTAGGGATAAGAATTAATTCTTTTTGGTTGGAAACAGGAAGGCTCAGCAGAACAGGCCACTGATTTAAGATACAAGTTTACTACTGCTTCTTTCACATTTCAACAGCTAAGACATGCTTCTGCAGTAGTTGACCAAACAAGACTACAATAAAATAAAGGGATGAATTTTGTATGTTCACAGAAAAACACCATAATGAAGTAAACAAAGCCATTCAAAAATAAATAGGACAACTTTTCTCCTTTTAAACTCTAAACTGCCTGAACCACTAATTAAATTCATAATAGCCTAGTCTATCACGCTTTTATAGGTTTTGGTTTTTTACGAACCCTGAATTTGCCTTTGGCATGGTTCCACATTTCTGCATACTTTCTTCAATTTCCATGATGGTTCTTAGATCCATAGCAGGAGGGCTGGCAAGGCTAAATGAAAAATAAAAAGTTACCTTAAAAGGCACTCATTTTTACTTACATTCCACAGTTCCAGCCTTCACTGAAATCCTCTAAATCATACATAAGATTGGTAACCGGATGTATAATTTATGTCTGTTTCCTCAATTATGGCAAACCTCAAATAGAATGTTTTTGATAAAACTTTTATAAATATATACATGTTTAAGAGTGCACTATAAAAAAAACTTTCAAGACTCATTATAATATGAAACAAAAAGATGTGAACTATGATTACTCTAAGAAATTTAGATACCTAAAACCACGATACTTATTTCGTAGTCAACTGCTTATGCTAAATACTAGAGAGGCATTGCTGACAGCTCTTCCATGAAGGCTGAATTAGATCTTCCTTTGAAGAACAGGATTAAAACTATTTCACATGGCTAAGAGAACACTCTTGCAAAGTTAGAGCTCCATACAAACACCAGTAATATTTTCAAACTTTAATGATCAGTTTCTTTTTCATAAATGACCTAATTTTAAACTTCCACAGAAATTAGCATGAGTTAAATCCAGACATTTCTAAGCTTTACATAAAACTATAAATTAAACCTGTTTACTTAAAGGCATTTGTAAACTAAACTGTATTACAACTAGATTCAAGGACAAGCTTTTAAATAAAATATAAGCAGCACTCCCTCTGTCTCTCCCTTCCCAATCCAACTAGTGAATTAACCACGGGGAGGTCACACAAAACCCTGTCATCACTGCTCTTCCCCAGTAGTTCAACCAAATACAATACAGCGTTAATCCCTTAAACATTTTACACAACAGTGCTGCCTGCTTTTTCTTTATATCATACCAGCAACACTAGAAAAAATGAAGAAAGAGTATGAGGGAAACCTATAAAAGCACAGTGACATTACAACAAAGTCCTATGGTTTCATTTGTTCCCCTCCCATGCAATCCTCTTAAAAAAAAAAAAGTGTAAAGAGCTCTAAGATCGCAGATGAAGGTAGACCTTTTTCCAACCAGTCTAGAGACCAAAGAGTTGTCTGTGGGATGTTTCCCTCTCTGCATAGGCTTGCACAAATACATAGCGACACAAAACATGGATTCCTAATGGACCTTGCTCACCAAACAATATACTTCAGAGCTGCAGCTTCTAATTTCTCCAGCTGTATCACCTGTATTAACAAAGACCATCAGCCACAAACCAACAGAGCTTGGCGAAACTGTGGGAAATTATTGCTATACAATTCCCTAAATCCTTGAACTCTTCTCTATTCAACCTTTATTGTCAGCTGTCAGACAGGGCACCAGCCAAGACAGAACTTCAGTCTATCACAGTACTGCTCCTTTTTCATATGCAGATACTGCTACAGATAAAAATTACTAATAAATTTTTTATTACTGTATTGGTTAGACTTGTGTTTATTTTCACAGACTGCTTAAGTCTAAAGACATGCCTTAAAAATGTCAAAGTACAATGGTGCTTCTAATGGCTTCAAGCATGGTCTGATTCTACAAAAAACTGCAAAGTATTTTACAAAGAGTTAACCAAACAGGCCTCTCTAAAAAAAAAAGATATTAGAAGTCCAGACTCGTAGCACTTGAAAAAAAAAAGATCTATCAATTGCTTTTCTCAAAGAATAATTTTAAAAAATGTACCATTTTTATTGAGCTAACAAAATCTTTAATTCACATGTCAAGTGATGTACCATCATTCTGAAGAGCAGACAGGCTTTTAGTTTGAATAGAGTATTATTAACACTCACTACCAAGTGTAGAATATAAGTGATTCTAAGTTAGGTAGGCACTACAACTATTACTCCACCTGAAACTGGATGCTACCCAATTGGGACAGCTTGCAAAGTTGTTTTTGGCACTGGGAATAGACTGCGGAGCAGACTGTGTCAATGCTGATGATCCCTTGTATGACTTCATCTCCTTGTTAGGTTGAGGGGGTTTCGTACTCTGACTGAATGCTTTGTCCTTCATCTAAAAAAAAAGACATAAAATATGTTGAATATATATTCTCACATTTTTCATTGAGAAAAAGAGAGTGATGCTACAAACAACTTGAACGACATGTAAATGAAAATGTTTTAAAGGATCACAATAACATATCCCTGATCAGTATGCTATTTGTACCTTTTTTTTTTGCTTCACACTTTACCCCGAATCATTTAAATCCAAGTATGCATCTTAATAGAAGAAAATTCACTCAGAGATGTTAACTTCTAAAGATTTAACATTTAACATAAGCACAATTCTTGCAAACTTTTTTCTCTTTGCCAGTTATGCCTCAGTTATCCTGGACCATACTTCTGTCCAACTACAGCAGTTGAAGAATAGCCAGATTTTCCTGGAGCCTTTTGTCTTCTGGTTTGGTTTTTTTTTTTTCAGCTTCTGAATTCAGATTTGCTTTGCATTTTAAAGTAGATAAAAACTTTACATAATTGCTCTTTCGATTTGAAATTTTCTGAATACTACAGCATAGAAAAATTCTTATTATGGTAGCACATGAATAAAATACCCTTTGTATTTATTGTTATCTACTCCATTTTAAGGAAAACAGCTTGTCAGAAACCCTCCAAGATACAAACTCTGCTTTGGATGGACTAGATAAACACAAATAAATAAATTGCTAAGAACAAAAAAAAATACAACCTCAGTCCTCTCTGAATGAAATCCTTTTGTGAAGTCAGGTGACTGCAAGTCTCTGGGGCTACCCACTCCTGCATAACTACCTTCAGAGTCAGATGTTAGGAGTTCTGGAAGTGATTCTACAGAGTTAGTTTTATCCATCTTTACTGAGCCTAAGAAATAAAAAAAAAGAGTAGAACTATTAAATCATGAGAGACAGACTAAACAATGCTTAAAAAAATCCAGAAGTTATTCACTCCATATGATGAATACAAAATAACCACAAGTTTACCTAGTCCAGTATACTAGACTGTAATAAGTATAGGCAAATTTAAGACTACCTTAAATTTACTCCCCATTTTCCTTCTCTGTCTCACAATATACAGTTTTAGGAAGTAACACTGACACTCTTCTGTTGAAAATGAAGGCTTCTACCATCTTTCCAATAAACAGTGACTCAGTTATTTTTTATATTCCAGAAAAAAACCCACCAAACCCCACATTAGCAGAAATGTTCCACTTATTAAAACCCCACGAGAAAGTGTCCGTTAACTTTATTTGATAAAATACATGCTTTTACAGAATCTGAACTTTGGGCACAAGTTGAATATGTCAAACATCCTTTCAAACAAAACTTAATCTTAAGAATTCACTATTCAAATTCAGCTATGGTGTTCACTAGAAAAGAAATATCTTTGCAAGATTTCCTTACTGAAGTACAGAAATTGCATTGCATATTAAATTTAATGTTCTGGTTTTATACCTGAAGGGAACCTCTTTCCCACTGACCTGTAGAGGCTGGACTCTGAATAATATCTGACAGATTATATCCTCCAGAGCTGTCGGACCGTTTTCGTGGCTTCTTTTTTGCCTTAGTTTTTGCTCTTTTGAAAAGGGCTTCCCTATCAAAAATAAAAAAAAAAAACCAAGATGAATTAAAGCCAAAGAAACTGAGCCTCAGAACTATCAGTGTCAATGTCAAGCTTTTCAGTCAGCAGATACAGCAGCTGCATAGGCTGGCACTGCCACCTAGGTCAGATCAAACCTGCTACACATCACAGCAACTGACATAAAGCAAACTGTGTCCAAGTCTTCACTTTTTTTCTCTCAATTTCGCCTTAAATTAGTGAAGTTCAACAAACTCTACTGTTGGTCTCATTTTTCCCCAACACAAATACTGCCAAAATGTCATGTGTTCCTATATATACTATAGGATATCAGGAAGAGTGGAATCAAATAAATGCTACCTTTAATTTTAACAAGACTACTAGAAATTCAGAATTATACGATTCACAAAGGCAGAGTAACCCTATTCTCAAAGAAGTTTTTTGTGGAATAACTATGTATGTACTTATTCACTCCTGCATCAATACTGCAACGTTATAATGGTTGGGGTTTTTTTTTAATCCTTGGACTGCCCCGTCCCCTAAAGGCTACCTCCTAACCTTTAAAAACACTGAAAGGCTTGAAGTCTAATACAAAATAGCCTCTCAGTTCCCTTGAACTACTAGTCCTTATCTGTACTAGATCATTTAGCACAACTTTTCTTGACGCAGGTGGTCAGAACAGTACACAATACCACAGGTGGGGGTCTCACCTGCACAGCAACATCATATTTCACTGTCCATGCTAGAAGCATGTTATCAAGTTGTCCTATCAAATTAATTATTAATTTAAAATCTATACCAAAAAACCGCAGTTGTAGCTTTATTATTTGCTCATCAGAGAGAAGCATATTAAAGTAGTCTGACATGACTTTACAGATTCTATTGCTCTCACCTGGATGCCTTCCTAACAAATGTTCAAAGACCGAATACCAGAAATCCACAAAACCACCAAGGCCAAACTACCTGATCTACAGCTGTTTGGATCACATTTCTTAATTTTTGTTATTCTACAGCCAGACAGCAGACACTTGAAACTGATTAAAAACTCATGCTACAAAGCTTCCTATTTCACATGACAACTCTGTTAATATTAAGAAATGTAATTATCATAATTTTCCAGACAGATATATAGTATATTAAAGTCTCTTTTTTCCTCTTTTGATTTCTCCTTTCTCCTAATTCAGTGAAGTTCAATGAACTTCACAGCTGGTCTCACACATTCACAGATACTCTCATCACATACACAACTCCCAAACTTTACTGTGAATGCTTGTTTTGCTGCCTTTACTTACATGCTATTTACTAGCTGAAAAAAGTGCTCCACTGCCGTTCTCTAACATTTTAAAATACGAGAACTGAGAACACACTCTGAAATCTCTGTATTTCCTAATATTTCTAATACATATCCTAACATTTCCATTTTAAACCCAAAGAAAGTCAGTCACCATCCAAGGGGCATAAATACCATATACAACTCACCAAGTTAAAAATATTGATGAAAAATAGATACTTACTGAGAATTTTGTTCTGTATTCATCTCTTCCCTTAAAAACACAAAGTTCTCCCCATCTTCAGGCTCAAAAGAACTTATGTCAGGTCCATCTAGATATGGAGTAATTACTCTCCTGACCATAGCTGGAATCTGTAGTCGGAAAAAGCCGTTAGACTACATTTCTCTTAAGCTGTATGCTAGCAAAGGTATGATCTCTTGTAAAAGGACCACAACTGACTGTCATTTAAAACATTTTCACAGATCAAGTAATTAATTACGTAACCAGCTTATAAACTTAAGTTACATCTTCAAGTAGAAGAGAACGAGAATTATTTCAGGTGACAGACTCAGAATGCATGTTTCAGTTGCCTATAACTCCTGACCAAAAAATGCTTCAAGGTTTTGCAACCATACATCTTTTACTACTGCACAGTTAAAGAATATCGAATTATAACATGCCTTAACTTTCCCATTTAAAGTTCAACTTTCACATCATTTTTCTTATTGCTTTTAAGATCTCTATTATCACCCTGAACACTAGACAAGTCTAATTTGCGTTCTTCTCCTTTCTTTTTGCTTATGTTTTTTCACGCAACAATTGTTACTTACAGAACATTAATACATTTAGTGTGCATAAGAAATTAATTTAAAGGACACAATACTGCTGCAGCAGCAGCTAGCGAATAATGAAATATGAGCTCCATGAGAGTGATAATAGCAGCAGCTAACCTTAGCGTTTGAGTCAGATGTTCCACATCCAGCCTGTCATCTACAGACCCTGTAGGTATGTATTTGTTACTCCTTTGCTCTCATTTCCAACCTAATCAGCTTACACCGAAGTTGTACAACTTACCATTTTCCTGTAATAAACAGAAAGATCCTTTACAACTTCATCGCTTAAGACATCCAGAGTCCTAAAAAAAAAAAAAAGTAAAAATTTATCTTACCACCTTAAAAAAAATCAGATTAACGAAAAATTCAAATGAAGGTTTTAGATGAATCTCACCTACAGGCAATTATTACCTATTCATGGTGGTCACAGAGTCAGAAGGAAGAAACTGAACACAAAACATAAACTACTCAGTGCCCCTGTCGTAGGATTACACCCACAAGCTTTCCAGTGAGCCTACCTTTCCTTAAGGCCACAGCCAATATAGACCTATATAGTCAAGTTACCACAAACCGGTCATTACTTTAGCTACTTCTGCATATTTTCAAGTCTTCCTGACATGTATATAATACTCCAAGTCTATGCAAATTCTTCCATAAAACTCATCCACAACACCCCTTGAGAAAAAAATACTACTACAAGCAACAAACTGAACTCAACAGAACTGTCTTGGCCACGTGAGCAGCTCTCCTTTCACAAAGCTGTCACGGTTAAGTTCTGTCTCAGGTGTCTCAGATTAAAAGTCTTGCTACCTAGTTCATTTTCAGATTTCCACTAAAATGCAGATACAGTCTTAACTGTAGTAAGAATGTTGTATGTCCTTTACAGGCTTAAGATTAAACAAATTCAAATTCAGAATAACACTTTAGACAATGTTATTAGACTTTCACTCTTCTCTCCAAAATCAAAGGTTATAATGTTTATACTTTATGAAGATGTGAAGCAGAAAATTGCTAATATGAATGAATTCCTGTATCTGTGATACAAGCAGAGCAGTTGTGTGACACATCCATGAAGAACTGGCATTCTGAAACGGCTCAGATCCTTAAGAACTTCTACAGGTAAAAGGAAGCATGACAAAAAGTCTAGGAGTAAACAGAGTGGACCAATAATACAGACGGATTTTTTTTGTTCAGTTGGGTTTTTTTTTTGTTTCGGGGGCTTTTTAAAGTCTTTGCTAGAAAAGAAGATCAATCAGTGCTGACTAGGCTTGCTCTAAGATGACATGTATTCTGGAAGCAACTGGAAGCCCTGTTTGAAAGTATCAAGAGACAGAAGGCCAGTGCACACCTTCAACTGCTTAGAGCTCTAGCTGAATCATTGTGGAAAGTAAGGGTAATTAATTAACTTGTTCAGCCCTTACTGCAGACAGTTAAAGCAAAGAGACTACTGACCAGAAGGCAGGCCCATCCTCTTTGGAAAATGCACCAGCTATAATAAACCTACTTAAAGTAAATTCAATTTCCATAGTAACTATCATGTTAAAAAAAAATAAAGAAAAACAAACAATAAAAAATGACAGCAGTTTTATGCATCGTCAAAAAAAATTAAAACATCCCAAAAAATATTAGGACTAATGTCAAAGCCCACTGAATTCAAGAGAGGTTTCTCCCCTTAATTCAGGCTCTTCGTGCCAGATTGTAACAGCGTTTTGTGCTACAGGACTGGTACAGTATGTACAGGTATTTAACTAGTTTCCCTGTTCGGCAAAAATGAGCCTCCCTTTAAATTAGCTGTACTCAGTTGCATTTTAACATTTAACTGCTCCTATTAGTTCTTCCAACCCTTTTGCCTTTTTGGGATGTTTGAATTTAACACCTAGTACATGAACACGTTTGCATTCCTCCTTACCTTGCTTCAAGCAAAGCTGCCATATTGAGTCCGATGAACTGCAAGCAGGACAGTTTTAGCTGTTCAGCACGATACATTGCTGAGAACTCCAGCAGCTCTGCAGCATTCTTTAAAGTCACTGCAAAGAAGAAACACAACAAAATAAATTGGATAATGTCCTGCAATATAATGCAGCAGTTTTTAAGACTTATTGCACAGCATGATCTCCATTCCTAGGAAAAATGCTCGCGCTTAAATGGCCATAAACTACAAGCTCCACATAACTTTGTAGCAGCTTGAATGCAATGGCTGCTTCCCAAAAAACAAAAAGGCCCTACCTACAGAAGTACCAGTTCCAACATATTGAAACTCAGCAGTCCAAAACAAAGGGGAAAAAGAAAGATAAAAATAGCAAGTCTCATATACAGCATAAACCGTTTGTAAAGCTCCAAATGCTCTTTTAGCAGGAAGAAAGAATAAAAAGGGGGGTGAAGGGGTAGGTGGCGGGGGAGAAAGAAAGAAATATGGGTCACCAAGAAATGCCAAGCAAAAATTGTATGCTGACTTCTTGTATGAAGCTAAGCAACAACACTTGGTGTTTTCTAGAAGAGACTGATCTTAGTAGCCATATAGAAACAGCAAACAACAAAAGAACTAACAGAATTAAAATACAAGGACAGAAGTAGAAACATAGAATTCATTTTATCATGTTTAAAAGACAAGAAGTTTGAATTCAATTAAATAAAGGTTTTTATAAAAGTTTGGTTTATTTGTTGTAGTGGTTTGGGTTTTTTTGGTTTTTTTGGTTTTTTTTTTTTTTTTTGCTTTTTGCTTTTTTAACCTTTTTATCGTTTTTTACAGAGAATGAGATACAGACAACGATGCACAAGGAATGGAACGTTATGCTAAACCACAGCATCACCCAGACTAAAAAAGCAACTGTTAACAGCTATGTAATGAACAGCAAAGGTAATCAGAGCAAAGGAATATAAGCAAATAATTCTGTGCTGAAATATACAAAAACGTTAACATAAAAAAAAACCCATTTTTTATTCTCTAACCCTTTATAATACAAGTGGAATAACTCACGTTTTTCAGCAATGGCTACTTCACAGATTTCTTTGAGTCTGGATATAAGCAGTTGGTCTGCTACCACAAGAACATTACATATGAATTCCACATTTTGAGAATCTGGAAAATAAAGCATCACGTAAACACTGTGGGCAAGTCAAAAGCAACCATAATATATCCAGCTTCAATGAGATTTTACCAAAGGACAGATGTAATGGCTTTGCAAATTTTGATGGGATTTTCATAGAATAAGGAATATTTTACAGGAGCACAAACAGCCATTTTTTTGAAGAAAGAGAAGGAAGGAAAAGGAAAACTGCAGTTTGACAAACTAAAAGGCACAAAAAGGCCTGGGGTACAGCTATCACCTCAAAATCTAAAGCAAGAGCCACAAAAATTTGGATCTTCTACAAAAAACTTCAACACGAGCATATTAAGTACTGAATGTCTATTTTTAAACTATAAAAATTGAAGGAGCTACAGTTGAGTTGAAAAGATATTAATAGCACCTTTTATCGCAAGAGCTTCATCTGTATACAGGTAATCTACAACAATCTGTAGTATGTCAGAATGGATGGGCATTTCCAGAGCTGAACAACAGGAAGCCTAGAAAGCAAAAGGATTAGGGGAAAAAAAAAGAAAAAAGAGTAAAAGGAGCTGACTACTTGATACAAAATTAAGGCAGCAATTATATTCAGCTAATGACTCAGACTGAGGGTCACATTTTCAAAGTCAATTATTTAAGCATTTGCACAAAATCTGTTCCAAGTTTTTCAACTAAGAATTGATTGTAGCAGAGCAATTAAAATCTGTCCAAACTTCTGAATAAATATCCATGAAACAGTTTAGTGTTTCATCAGCTTTAGCATCTTCTCTAACAATCCTCCTTGATTATATTACTTTACCCAGAATTGTTTAGAAGTAGAACTACAGGAACCTCCTACACAAGTACTTTATTTTCAAGGTGAAGGACTGAGTGAAATCACAAGTTCCCATGCAAGAATAAAATGAAAGTAGCCATTCCTGTTAATCCCTCAGAAAACAAGGTCCTCAGCAAAACTTCCATTTGAAGAACCATCTCAACCATTAAGGTAAAGCTTTTGTATGAGCAAACATTAGCCAATAAGCCTTGCAAGTGTCACCATTCAAGTTTATGCAACATTACTGCTTAAGAACTTTGGTTTATTTCAGGTGGCACTGAACCAAAGCTATATAGTAAAAGATTTCTTTTGCATTAGAAAATGCTACTCGTACTGACGTATTTCCCATCTGAAGTTTAAAAAGTCTTACAAACATGAATTTTTTTATACATCTAGAGCACTTGATTCACAAAATATTTACTTCTCAATTTCGTATGATTTAGATTTACTTATGAAACAAGAGAAACCTTACGAACTACATACAAGTCATATAGAAATCAACAATACAAATGGACATTCAACATTAAAAATAAAAAAAAAAAAAAAAATCACTTGTCCACAGTGTTTCGGATATGTTTCCTCAGGGACAATTGAGGAAAAGGCAGCACAGTGATGTCCCATTACACAGCAGAAGAGAACTGCCAGTACTTTGCCAGGTTCTTAGACTCACATATTGCCAAAAAGCTACAAAAGTTGAGAAAACTCTTGCACACTGCTTCAGCTTTCAGTCTCTGAAAACTGCTTCTCCACTTACACCTTTCCTCTCTTTCAGCAAGTGTTATCAATAGTATTCAGATACTTAAACAGAGGCCTTTAGTGAAATTACGATGTCCGGGAACAACCAGGGCATTGACACGCAGCTAGCAAACAGAAGCCAAGACAAGTAACAGATCTAGACCTTTTGAAGCAGCAGCTGGTGACTAAGTGGAACAGTCCTTGATAGCCTCTATTTCATTAACAGGAAAGGTCAACTAGAGATTCTACACTCTAAAACAAAAGCAATACTTTAATTTCCTTTGAAATTACTACATTACTACATTTATCACTCTAATACACAATCTCAATAGTACAAATACAGAGTAACTAAATACGTGGGTGGTTTTTTTTTTTGCAAACAGCCTTTCCTCTTACCCAGTATTTAGGATATGTTATTCTAGGAAAAACTGAAAAGCTGTCCCTTATTTGATGCAACCAAACATACCACCATACAGGTTTACTGTCAAGCTTACCTCAATCCATGAGCTGCTTAACATGCTGTGAAAATAATCTGTAAAGAAAGGCATTTCAGTTCAAGATGCAATAACATTTCAGTTAAAAAAGACAATAGGA